AAGAAGTGAAGATAGTGAAGGAAATTAAATTTTTAGGAGTTACATTCACACCTAATCTCTCGTTCGAAAAACATTATAAAAATTCACTAAGTAAAGCAAAAATTGCAATAAATAATTTAATTGGTCTATTCTGCAAGACAAAAATAAAGAACATACGTATACATTTTCAGTTATTTAATTCGATTGTGATGAACTCAATGGGATATGCTGCCCCAATTTGGAGCATGGAAAAATTTAATGACTTTGAGAAAATACAGAATATATTCATACGTAAGATATTCCAGCTGGAATACAATATCCCGGGTAGTGCCTTAAGATTAGAAACACATAGATTCAGAATAAATACTATACTAATAAAAAGATATTTAAAGTTTTTACAAAAAATTATTAAGGCTGAAGATATAACAACAAAATTGCTGTTCTTACTACATCACAAATCAAGGGAAACAGACTTAAGACGAAGTTGGATAATTCAGTTATCGAAGATAGTTAATAAATATGGATTTTCTATTAAACTGGTTATGGATCGTAATTATGATATAGAGCAATATAGTAAAGAAATAATACATAGAGTTATGGAATACTCTATTATCCAAGACGTGGAAGATATACGAAAACGAGAAAATACAAGCTGGTATGCAACAATTTTAAATTATCCTGTAAATAACAACTATATATTGACAAATCTAGCTTTTAACATCAAAAAGTTTTTTATACAGCTTAGGCTAAATAAATACGGAATAATTATAAATGATAAATATATAGACTATACCCAATCTAAATGTCCAAATTGTACTAAACCTTTATCTAGAGTTCATATTATATGTGAATGCTGTAATGAAAAAGATAAAATACAAAGGCTCCAAATGCAACCGCTAGTCAACTGTAACAGTGAGATGAAAATGTTTAAGACTTTTGACAGAGCTAATACTAACACGATTTATATGTTATATAACTATGTTAAACAATTTACTAAATGAAAATTGTAACAAAATATTAATGTAAATTTAAAAATTAGCAAATAGAATATATTAATGTTAATAAGACGAAAAAAAATTGAGATGTTAAATTAATACGAGTTTATGTAAAACTAAACGCCCTTGTAACAGGCAAAAGCCTATTACGACAAATAAAGATTATTATTATTATTATTATTATTTTTATCTTTTTTTTTTTACAGTAGACTGCATCCTATGTCTTCTAGTTAGAAGAATCTTGACACAAATTTATTGAATGATAGATCATAACATAGTTCTGATATGGTGTGGTTCAGACTTAACATATGACAGTTCACTTGTAGTATTGCAAAATAAAATTTTTCAACTCCATTTTACAATAATTGGAAATCTAAAAAGCTATCAGAGACAGTTTTAATGATTCTGATTGTCAACACGTAAGATATTCAGAAGAATATGTAAAAAAAAGTAAAATATGTATGGAGAATGCAGAATAGTATAAAATTTAATCTATAACAAAAATCTTTCACACTATAACAAAAATATTCACACCCATCATTACATCACTTGAGTTTTTATTTAACACTAACTATATAAATATAGTTTATATATTTCAGCAGTTAAGCTACCAAAAATCTTTATTTCAAGTATTACTAAATTTCATGAAAATGCATTTTGGGTACAAGGTCCCCTCTCCCAAACAAACAACTTAAATTTAATAAAAAGTTCATATAAATCCTATCCAATTGATACAAAAACATTTTTTTAAAAAAACATCAAAAAAAGATGATTGCCTAATACATTCTCATTCACTCCACACACAATTTTAAAAACTGAAGTTAATTTTTGTTCAGAATGAAATTGATCATAAACTTTCCAAAACTTTTTGCATGCACTTTAAATGTTTATTTTAATTAAACAGACAAATTTAATTTGGTTTAATTAAAATAAACATTTAAAGGGAATTGTTTTTTAAGGATGTGTTTGTGTCAATTGGATAGGATTTATATGAACTTGCTGTTAAACCTAAGATGTACAGTACATTGAGAAGATCTTGTTCCTGAAATGCATTTCCATGAAATGTAATAATACTTAAAACTAAAGGTTTTTGGCAAGCTGTAATACATTAACTATTTGTATATGGTTAGTATTAATAACAAAAATTTTTCAATCCAACAAAATTATAGTATCAATAATTCAAATATAAGTTTATTACACAACTTGACAACAGCCATTCAACATGGCTGGAAGCATTTTATTTGGTAGAGTTTTGAAGGATTAAAAGGTTTCTTAGGTAAAAGGTAAATTACATTATCCATTCAGTATGCAGTGGTGTATAGTGCCATTTATGAGTTTGTTTGTTTGTTTGTTAAAA